GGAATGGATAGTGGAGCCACGGGCGGTCGGTAGAGGCAGAGGTGGCGTGGGTGGACGTGGTGAACAGGTTTAGTTACTATTTGTTGATGTATTTTTAAAAAAATTATTTTTTTTTATTTTAAATTAATATTTTTTTTGTATTTTTATATTATTTTAAAATACTAATTTTAAAAATAATTTTTTAAAATAAAAATATTATTTTAATATATTTATAAAAAATAATTACAGCCATCCTTCTAAACGAAGTCTTCGTAGGCATAAAACGGTAGGGGAGAAGGCATGAAAGTTATTGTGTTGTTGCAAAATCGGTGGCGACGGCTGCAGGTAGCAGCAATATGAGATTGAAAGTTCATTTTACTGTTGTTTTAAATTGTTCTCGTGGTTTTAATGGTTTCACACACAACATTTTGTATTATAGGCTTGACGTATTCTTGTGGGGATTCCAGCTTCAAAATCTACTTGAATTTTGCTTAAGAAACATAATTTAGCGATGATATTCTAAAATCTAAAATGCCCAGGGTGGTTAGATAACATATTTAATCAAGTGTTATTATTATTTAATCTATTTTTCATAATTAAAGAAGATGATAACTTGATTTTAAAAGTCAAATAACTACAAAACAATATGTTTTGAGTGAATTTGAAAACCCTCAAATGTTTAAGTTGATATATTTATAAAGAGAGATCATAATAAATATGCAAAATAACATTAAATCTCAAGAATTAGGTTGTTTGTTATTGTTTTGGTATGTATTATTTTTTTTTAGGAAAGTGATGTTTTGTGTAAACAATATTGTATAATATGTTGAAAATAGAGAAATTATAAACCATTTTTTTAAATAATTTAGAAGTATTTATACTTTATGAATCTTGTTTCTGTGCTTAGATAAAAAAGTTAAAGAGACATTCCACTAGTGTAATATTAATAGGTCAAATATCTTACACATGCTTTAATAAAAAATAAATATTTCTTACACATATATATTGATAATGAAAATGTGGTATGTTATTAGATATTCTTGTATACCTAAAGGTGTAGATGGAATATAGACTTGACGAATAAGTTAATTATATTGTATGTAATAAGTCAAAAATACTAAACTCCCCAACGATAGAATATATGGAGTCCCTTAACATTTTGGATTTAGGCTAAAAAGTTCAAATTTAGTAAAAAAATCCTAGAGAGCCAAGCATTAGACCTCAATAATGCTTGAAACGGGGCTCAGGCTGCAAGCTCGAAGATCCAAAGATGCTAGGATGTTGACCTAGTGCTGGGCTTATGCCGCACATATGAGCCAAGAGGTGCCATATAATAAGCCTAAGCCTAAAAGACTGCAAGGTAGGTGGCTTGACATTAGACCCAAACATGATGTTGTAACCCATTTTTCCTAAGCCTAAAAGACTGCAAGGTAGGTGGCTTGACATTAGACCCATACATGATGTTGTAACCCATTTTGATGTTGTAACCATTTTTGAGTCCCTGTGTAAATATATATATATATATATATATATATAGAAAAATAAGAAAATGA